CATAAACGGCGGTAACGAAACCGCCTTTAATACCGCCGTTAAAAGCTTTAACGACGGTTTTACAGCCTTTAACGGCGGTAAAAAACCGCCGCTAAAGCCCAATTTTGGCGTAGTGCTAGATTGAAGTCTTAACAATGTATTTAGGCAAGATTAGATCAAAAGCCCCAAATTTGAGTTTTCATTTTTGACCAACCTTTACTCTTTTGCACTTTTCTTTTTCCACACATTTAATTTGAATATGAGACTAGAACCATTGGAAATCTTGTTTTCGGGGATTCAATTTGGACACAAGAACGGCCTAAAATAAAGTCCGAACAACCTAAAACGGAGTCCGAACGAGAGAGTTATACCTGTTTGAATTTTAAGTTTCTGTATTGGAAGCAATCTTGCTCAAGCGAGCTTTTCTTCGCTTGAGCAAACTACGCGATTTTCATATATTCTGGGAGCTTCTTTTCTACGCTCAAAACAGGCTTCCTTTGCTTGAGCGACCAGGTCGAATTCAAACCTGTTAAAGTGACTTTTTGGCCCAAAAACATTGGCTCTGTTTGGTTGTGCTCTGTAATCAGTTTTCTACCCCTGTGTTAACCGTAAATCTTATGTAATGATTTGAATTCTAATACGTATTGGAATTGGTGTAATTGGTGTCCGTCACCTTAAAACTTGCATGGTTGTCAAACTCTTAGTATTGATGGGTTGACAAGTGAACCTTAAATATTATAATTGAGGACCCTTGGGTGATGTTTGGAACCTTGATTGAAGTCTTAACAAGGTATTTAGGCAAGATTAGATCAAAAGCCCCAAATTTGAGTTTTCATTTTTGACCAATCTTTACTCTTTTGCACTTTTCTTTTTCCACACATTTAATTTGAATGTGAGACTAGAACCATTGAAAAGCTTGTTTTCGGGGATTCAATTTGGACACAAGAACGGCCTAAAATAAAGTCCGAACAACCTAAAACGGAGTCCGAACGAGAAAGTTATACCTGTTTGAATTTTAAGTTTCTGTGTTGGAAGCAATCTTGCTCAAGCGAGCTTTTCTTCGCTTGAGCAAACTACGCGATTTTCAGATATTCTGGGAGCTTCTTTTCTACGCTCAAAACAGGCTTCCTTTGCTTGAGCGACCAGGTCGATTTCAAACCTGTTAAAGTGACTTTTTGGCCCAAAAATATTATTTTTCTGCCTCTCTTCTCCTCTCATCCTCCAAACCCGAAACCCTAGCGTTCCAAACTCTTGATTTCTCATCTTTTTACCCAAGATTCACCCCCAAATCGTTCAAGAAGGTTGAAAAGCAGGCATAGTTCAAGATTTCTACCAATTGTTTTGCAATTTTGTCGAAGTTTCTTGTAGATTCATAACCCTAACCCACCATTTTAAGGTAGGGGTCTCTTTAACTCTTTATATCTTCAATTTGAGTAGCTTATGCGGTAATTTCATTAGCTATTCATGTGTGTGTATATATATGTATATATGTATATGTATTGATTTGAGCTTGTTGACTAAAGATTGAGAACAATGAGGGTGAAATTTTGTGATTGTTGAAGGAATTACACTTATTATGATGAAATATCATTGTTTATGATTAATGATTTGCCTCAATTTTATAAAGGAGAGGGAAACCCCAATTTTTCTCATTATTCTCAAACCCTAGTTTTCCAATTTTTTTCATAAAAAGGGGCTTTGGTCAATTGTTTTCAAAAACATGAAATTGAGTGTAATTACTTGATTGTGAGGTTGAGATTGTAAAACTTTAAGCTTCTCTCTATATATATTTCCTTGAAAGGATGAAGTTTTGGTGTTAAATCCACTATTTTGGACATATGAAGTTGTGAGATTGTTGTGAATGGAAATCATTGTAGAAAAAATGCATTATTTGCAAACTCATGCATCATATGCATTGTTCATTTCTTTTGGTTCTACTTTTGTGAAAATGGTTGAACGCAAAAAGGCGATAAATGGTCTATGAGTCTGGGTAGTGAGTCGGGTTGGAAGTTGAATTGCATATTGTAATTGGTACCCGTGCAGGGAGTGAAGGTGCCCAATTGCCCTGTCTGCGCATATCGCCGGACGAATGTGAGAAAATATTTTTGGGTGTCCACGTCCTGTCGTTTCTAGAGCCGACAAATGTGGAAAAACGAAGGATTTTGGGTGTCCACTCCCTACCATTTATGGAGCCGGCAAATGTGGAAGGTAAAAATGTTTTTGGGTACCCATCGCCCTGCCGTTTTTGGAGCCGACAAATGTGAGACTATTTTCGGTATACAAAATTACTATTATATATGTATGTTTTTACTTTCGGATCTTACTTGGGATGTCATAGCTGGTTTACCGCCCAATTGAAATGCGGATAAAGATAGAACAAGACTCATGCATTACATCTTTTCATTTACATAAATGGACCCCTTCATACATCTTTAATTATTTTATATATATATATATATATATCATTTCAAAGTTGCATTGCGTGATCATAAGTCTTTCAATTGGCTATGTAAATTGTTAAATGCATTGCCTACTGAGCTTATGCTCACCCCAAAGCTAACAGTTTCAGGAATTCGAGATGAGACGGCCACTAAGGAATGATGTTGGCATGAAGAAATCTTTTGTGGAGTTGATTGTTAATCTTTTGGGGACTTGTTGACTTTTGTTTAAATAAGCTGTAATTATGTGTTGTGCATATATTAGTGTTTTGGAATGACATATTAGGAAGGGCGTCCCAATTACACAATTGTAATTGTCTTATACTTTTTGAACTGTTTTGTTGTATTCTGACGATGTAAGGAATCAAAATTGTAAATGTTGAAAAATAGTTCAAGGATGAAGAAATGTACTGAATTTTGTGTTCTAGTTGTTATCCTACACTTGTTTGTATGTATCGTATGGTGGGGATGCCCAGAGAACAGGATCAGGAAGGGGTTTTCTGAGGGTGTTACATCTTATGTCTATTATTTATGTATATTTTCTTTTTTCTCTCTCATACATATAATTTATAATTTCTAACATCAATTCAATTAAATCATAATCAATCATAAATTGTTAATTATTTATTATAATTTTTAATTTTTTACTCTAGTTTTAATTCCTTGATTATTTCTTGTAATTATAGTTTATATTTTAGATCAATTATAGTTTAGATCACAATTAATCATACATCCTTAATTATTTTTTGTAATTCCTAACATCTTAATCTGATTTTAATTTAATTATATTTTAGATCAATCCTTAATAATTATTTATTTTATATTTTAATTTAATAATATTTTAAATCACTCTTTAATTATATTTTATATTTTAGACCAATCCATTATTATATATTTATTTTATTTTAATTACATCTTAATTTAATTTTAGGTTTGGAGAATATCAAGATAAAATTATCTTTTTATTGAGTTAATTTCATTTTTTTTTATTTTTTAGAAAATCAAGTCAGTTTAAAAAACAGTGTGTGTGATACACCTTCCATGACTTTGGATGGAAAAATTAACAGTTGTATTTTAGACCAAAACCACATAGAGCCTTTTGACTGTAACAACTCGAAAATTTAAGTTGTCTCTTAAATTTTATACTAGTATTATGGTTGTATGTGATAATATATTATTAAATAAATAATAATAAATACAGAATCTAATTTGGCATTAGATTATCAAATATGAGATTAATTATGGATTATTATTTGGGGCTAAATTAACATAAATATGAAATTATAATACTAATTGTACCAAATTAAAGTTAAAAATAGTAAATAAATAAATATAAAAGTAAGAGTAAAATAATAATAATAATAATAATAATAATAATAATAATAATAATAATAATGGGTGTGGTAGTAAAATAAATAATTAATTTTCTGTTGGTATACGATAGAGTGTAATTTAATTAGGAATTAATTTGTTTATATAGTTATATTAGAAAATTAAGTCAAAATATAATTATCTTAAATATTTATTAAAAATAAATATAAATTTATATAATTTATTATCAAATCTGTGATAGGATACGCGCTGTCACGGGTTGGCTAGCGGACGTTCTTACCTCCCTAATAGGGAGGAGGTGATCACTGGGTGGAAGAAGAAAGGAAAAAAAGGGAGAGAAAGGAAGAGAAAAGGAAATAGAAAATAGGAAAGGAGAGTGAAGTAACGTCTATGAGAAGGTAGTAAAAATAAGAAAAAAATAGTAAGAGTCAATATTAAGGTGAGTTATATTATATCTTGAGTTATCATAATATATTTTACATATATTTTGACTTACCATTATTTATTTATATAAGTTTATGTTTTATAAATTATATTAATATTTCAATTACGTGGGTTATTTTCTGAACTCTATTTGTATAAAATGAAACCCATTGATATGTTTGTTTCTATTTTAAAGAATATTTGACTATGACCTTATAAACAATTATGTTTTGAAAGTACCACCACGGGAGTCTCACGCCTTGGGGGACTTACATAACCATTGGCTTCTGTTTGCTCACTTTGTAGCCCTCTATTGTCATGGATCTATTGACCTCTATTTTGTGCAAAGCAAAGTGTTGTGCGTAGATAAGTTTACACTATTGTGGGAGCCACCTCTATAATCCGTACGAGCCACCTCTTGAATCTGTACCTCTGTTTTGACTGTCACTCATGTGACCTTTGTTCTGTTTTGTTCGGTACCGTGGTATGGTTATTTATTTACATAATTTCAGTTTTACTACTTAAATAATTATTTGTTTAGACTAAGTTATCTTAAATATTTTAGTTGCATAACTATCCATGGTTATTTTGTGTCCCTTATACTCTTGGTATAATATTTCTCACTCTGCCATGTGCTTATAACTGTTTACCAAGTTCCAAGAAACAATGCAATTCAGAAATAGCTTTTGAAAAGTCTTAGACGCGGGGCTGCAGAATAGACACACACAACACTTTTATGATATTTTTATATGTAAATATCGGCCTTTTGGTCAATAAATTTGGTAATAAAAATAGAAACTCTAATGATTATTTTGGTACTCTCATTTAAATATTATTTCTGCTTGCGTTTATTAATTTGTTTAAGAATTGGCCGGAGATAACTTCAGTTACTGGCCATTACGATACTTAACCCTTAGGTACGGGAAGTGAGTCGTGACATTGACTATATAAAATGAATATTGTCTTTAATCCAATTAGTTGATCAAAAATAGTTTAGAACCTGTGCATTTAAGTTTGAGAATAAGAATTGAATATTATAGTAGATAGAAGATACCTTTATTTAAAGAAATTGTAGAATACATTCACCAAATCATGAATTGAGATAAGCTTGCAAGAGATCTGTTTGTCCACAACAACAAAAATTAATGAGATGATACATTTTTATGAGATAAGCTTGCAATCTATCTCGAGCCAAAAACATATGGGGAAGCATTTCGGAAAGTCTATTTCCACATACTACCTAGATATCACCTAAAAATACATATTTGGTTCGATATCACTAGAATTGAGCAAACCCAAAATGCTCACGAATCTATTACACAAACCTAGAAAAATGAGCTTGAAATAATGCAGAAATAGAATCTCACTAAATGAATATTGTTGCAGTAGAAGCCAACAAAATTCAGAGTTATTATGTTAACAATCACAATAAGAGAGTTTTTGTTATTTCTTAAATGTATGAGTATTTTTTTATTATTAACACAGATTTTATTTTGCTAATCAAAAAATTGAGTTATTTAATCTTTGATGCCAAAGAAGACAAGCTATAATTTTATAACTTTTGCTCAGCGTTATATGGATTCTCAACCCCTATTGTACTCATGTCCATATATAAGATGCAAGGAAGAAGTCAAAAAAAAGTATTAGATAAGACTGACAAATGTAGCAAAACGAGATTAAAAAAAGTGTATCAAACAAAATAAATTTAATTTTTGTAAAAGAGAAATTTACTTACATTAGTTATTACACAATCAGAAGAAAAATGAATAAATGTAGGAAAACACTTTCTGGTTGGCAAGTCTAAACATTTTATGGCAAAGAATTTTTTTTGACATATTTACCTTTTTTATGTGTAGTGTTAAAAAAAATTTAAAATATTATAACTTTAACTACATATATCAATTTTTAATAAAATCAATATTTTTGTGTTCGTCTTTTCAAGAACTTTAAAAAGAGATCAATGTTAAAAATGAAAAAAAAATAAAAAAAATAAAAAAATCAACAAATAGACCTATTGAAAAATAACGAATAGATCTATTTCGAGGCATATCAAGGCCAAGGAAATTCATGACAATGCAACTATGTGTTTAGTATCATAAAAACTATAGATCAACAATTTTCCTCACCATGGACCAAATAACATGATTTTTTAATGAAATTTATGAAATTCCTTGGCCCAGTATTCTGGCTCTTGGTTCAGTTGAATCATTTCATTAATTTTGACTAGTAAGAGACCTTCGTTGATTAACTTTAGTCGATAAAAAATCTCGACTATGTGATCCAGTTAAAATTTCAACATGAGACAAATCATTCCCTTCAAAGATATAAGTCTGCAGAATTTAAAAAAAAAATAAAAATGATATGACTGAGATTCTAAGATTTTAGCACAGTGAGCAATGTTAGCCATACAAAAAAGTCTACCAGAGATTTAACCACATGAGGGGGTGAGATCCACCCTTATTTGAGACCCATCTAATATGAATATTTTGTAAAAAATTTAGTAAAATATTTTGTGTTTATAACATTTTTAATTTGGATATGGAGTAACAAGTGTATGAGCATTGATCGAGTTGGTGGATTAATCAAGACTAGCAAGACGGCTCATGGAAAGATTTGGGATAAGTTTGAGGCGTGAGGAAAAAACGTATAAAGTATGGATCTCACCTCTCAAAATTTAAAGGAGATGAACTGTCTCTAGTTCATAATCTAGATTGCATGAAACTGTTCGAGACCATGAAGTGTGCATCAAGTGTATCAGTTGTGTTAATGTATATATGGTATATATTCCTAGATATATTAGGAATTGATTTCCTAGATATATTTGGGAATAGCCATAGTTAGGTTTCTTGTAGGATACTCTTTCTCATAGTTAGGTTTTAGTAAGATACTCTTTCTTAGCCTATATATACAGATCTTCTATTGTATATGATTAATTCATTGAATACAATACATATTTTTTTTTCTCTCTCTCTACTATTCTAACATGGTATCAAAGTTATAAGTTAAGCTCTTGGTATTCTTCACCTTACCAGCAGGCGGCAACCTTGCATTGGCCGCCCGCCGGACCTCAACTTATTTCGTTGTCATATTTTTCTTTCAGTATCACTTCAAGGTAATCTCTTCCTCTATCCACTAAGTTATGTCTACCTCAAATATCTCTATCATTTTTGTATTTTTATTTTTTTTGTGTGCACTTCAACTCCACTCTATCTTTCACTCTATTTCAACCTCAAATAGGTTTTTATCTTCAAACCTATTTGAGTTTGAGGGGGGTATTATCCCTATATCATGGTGAGCATGGTGACATATCATGTGAACCACCTAACCCGCCCTCTTTGGCGCACAACCCCAAGTCGCCCCCTTTGGCGCACAATCCAAGCTGCTCTCCTTTGGCGCCCTCTCTAAGCCACCCCATTGACACATTGCCTAAGTCGTCTCCTTGGCGCGCTCTCTAACCTACCTCTTTTTGGCGCACTCTCTAAGTCGTCTCTTGGCACACCACCAAAGCCACCCCCTAGCGCACCATCCAAGTCGTCCCCTGGCGCACTCAGTCTTCTGTTGCCATCATCGTTCAGCACCACGTCATAAGTCATGTGTGTGCCACGCTTTCTAGTTCAACATCTAGTTCTCTACATCGATCCGGCATGACCCCTTTAAACTGTCCAAACATTGATTCCGATTTGCCAATCTCTACAACGGTCTGGCATGACCCCTTTAAACTGTCCCAACATCCAGTTCTCTACATCGGTCCGACATAACCCCTTTAAACTGTCCCGACATTGATTCTGGTTAGTTTCTAACATCGGTCTGGCACGACCTTAAACGGTCCCTACATTGATTACAGTCAGTTCTTACAACGGTCCGGCATGACCTTAAACTATCCCGGCATTAGTTTCGGCCAGTTCCTATAACGGTCCGGCATGACCATGAACTGTCTCCCAGCATTAGCTCCGGCCTCTGATATATCTCAAGCGCCATTGCACTCCCGTTCAAACTTTGCAATCTATTTTCTTTTTATTTTATTTAGTTTTATTTCATGTTTTAGTTTCTCTCTCCAAACTCAAGAAGTTTATACTCCTTGAGTTTGAGGAAGGATATTAATGTATATAAGGTATATATTCCTAGATATATTAGGTATTGATTTCCTAGATATATTTGGAAATAGCTATAGTTAGGTTTCTTGTAGGATACTGTTTCTCATAGTTAGATTTCTAGTAGGATACTCTTTCTCAGCCTATATATACATACCTTCTATTGTATAAGATTAATTCATTGAATACAATACATATTATTTTCTCTTTCTCTCTCTACTATTCTAACAGGTTCAATTATTCGAATCATTCATTTTGTCAGACACTTTGTCTATATCATTTTTTTTAAAAAAATAATTAAGTTGATCCGATAATCGTAACTTATTCAATTTATCATGTTTGTCAACAAAAAAAAAAAAAAATGGACTACAATTGTGTTTTTAAAATAAATCATTTGTTTGTTTGTTTGTTTTTTTGTTTATTTCAAAAGCGAAAAAATGATTATCGAATCAATCTAATTTTTTGTGCGAGTGATGTACATGAAGTACCTAACAAAATGAATAGTTCGACATTGAAATGAACCCATGGTAGGATCCATAGTCCCGAACAATGATTTCCAATCCAAATTATGGATCGGAAAAGAAACTAGCTCCTAATTTAATAACTGAGGGACTTAAATTTTGAAAATCTTTTTATACGGACTTGATCTAATATGAATTTATTCTAACAAATTTGTTTGACTCTAATTTTCTAAATTCAATTTTATTAAAATTGAGTTTTTTATTTTTTATTTTTAATGAATTTTTTTAATATTTTAAGTAATTAGATGTACCTAAAAAAATAAAATATTTGTAAGAAAGTAAGAAAATATTAAAACAATCTATAAATACATAAGAATATGAAAATATACTAAATTTTCATATTTTTGTATGGGTAAATTACACTGACACCCCCTGAGATTTTTGTTTAACACAGATTTCCCCTCACGTTTGAAAAATTACATTCCCCTCTTGAGATAATTGTAATCTCATTACAAATTGCTCTATGGATTGCTGATGTCATGCCCTAAAATTTCTTAAATGACCATTTTACTCTTTTTCCTACTATTACTTCTTCCTATCATCAAGATTACATTCTACAATTTTTCATCATTAAATTCTACCTAAACATATTCTTATTGACCGATGATATACAAATATAAATTTTTCAAACACAATGATATAATTTGATGGTAACCTTTCACTTTAAAACGAAACACTCATAAACATTATTTATATTTACAACAATATCACTAACACAACATTTACATTATTTATATTTACAAAAATATCACTATCACAACATTTTTATGATATTTTTTGTATAAATTTTTATATATGAATAGAATTTTTCATTTTTATTTCCAACATCATTTTTTTTTCTCGTCTATTCACCCACATTTATTACAGTATTACCAAACACCGTCATTCACATTTATTACACTATTATTGATTTTTTGTATTATTGTATCTTTTTGTATTTGATGAATTTAAAAAAAAAAATCACAAAATATTATACTTCTTAAGTATATCTAGATTAGGTATATCTAAAAAATAAAAATAAAAATAAATTGATTAAAATATTTAAAAGAATTCAGTAAAAATAAAAAAACACGAAAAAAAAATTAATTTTTTTTTTGTTTTAGTTAAAACCAAAGAAAATTATTGTTATTTCTCTTCCAATGAATGAACAAAATATCAGCATTATTTTATCATTTCATAGGTGTAAAAGCTAAGGGATAAATATGTCATTTTAATCTGACAGGAAAGTAAGTGTAATTTTTCAAACATGCGAACATGAGAGATGGATTTGTATTAAATAGAAACCTCAGGGAAAAAAATAAATAATTTTTTTTTTGTTTTAGTTAAAACCAAATAAAATTATTGTTATTTCTCTTCCAATGACATGAACAAAATATCAGCATTATTTTATCATTTCATAGGTGTAAAAGCCAAGGGACAAATATGTCATTTTAATCTGACAGGAAAGTAAGTGTAATTTTTCAAACATGCAAACATGAGAGATGGATTTGTATTAAATAGAAACCTCAGGGAGTGACAGTGTAGATTTTTTTATATAAATATTATACTTTTTTAATTATATTTATATTAAGTGTATCTAAAAAGTAAAAAAATTACTTAAAAGATTAAAAAAAATTATCAAAAACAAAAAAAAAAATGGAAAAACAAAAAATTTAATTTCTAAAAAATTAAATTTAAAAAAGTGGAATCAAAGAAGATAAGATTTTTCAAAGAAAGAGAGTGCAGTTTAACCTTAAAACTTATTCAATTTGAATTACATTCCTAATATAATAACATTTTATGTTAGACTATTACAATGTGGGTGTTTGGGAAGTGAATTTTTATGTAGGTTTTTATAGTTGTAAGATATTTTTGGATAAAAATTTTTTGGTGTTTGAGAAGATAGTTGGGTTTTTTTGTGGTTGGATGTGATGTTTGTGAGAGAAAAAGTAAAATGATTATGGGGTTAGATGTGATATTTTATTTGGATTTTTTTTTTTTTGGTTTTACAAATTTTTTTCTTTTAGTATAAAAAAAAAAAAAAATCCAATCCACAAACTTCCCAAACAAATAAATGTTCAAAATATGCTTCTGTACATATCCCTTGCCATCTCTCTAGTCATCTAAAGGATTATAGGAATAGACCGTCAATTTTTTGGTTTGTGAGTCCATCTGAAGTTTCGTTTGGTTAATTTAGATTATTTATTTTTAGGTAAGTCTGTTTAGATTATTCTTAAAAAAATCATATTGATTCAATAAATATAATTACATAATTTTAATGTATCCATCTTTAAATAATTAATGATGTATTTTTAAAATCATGTTTGTTATTAATTATTTTTTTAAAAAAAAAATATACAAGAATTATGTGACTACGTTTTATCAATAAATTTATTTTCTTTTTAAAAAATTATCTACACAAAAATACTTAAAAGTGAACTATTCGAGTCTTAAACATAGAGCTTATGGTGGCCTTCTAAAACTTGATAATTCTTAAAATTTATATAGCACTCATTTGGCATATTGGTTGGGTTGGATTTATAGTTAAAATAGTCATAAAAAATTAAAATAGACTAAAAAGTCAATAAGACAAAATGTCACATCTAAATTATAATCTTTTAATTTTTTTTCTCTCACAAAAATCAAAAAGTTAATCACAAAAGAGATTTTTTAGCCTCAGGCCAAAAAGTCAAAAAACCAACACATATCTCAAACGAAACCTAATATGGCAAGAAGGTTTTTGAAAATATCTAAAATATATTAGAGATACATTTTGTTTCAATGTTTCAGATTGTCCTATCCAAAATTCAATGATTGAGATGTCTTCATTTTTCGCCCAAATGCTCTCACTCTCTCTCCTCTTAAATCATCACTCTGCCAAACCCTCTCTCTCTCTCTCTCACCTCAACATCTACGCCCAAACCTCTCTCTCTTCTGCCTCTCACCTCTTTGTCCTCGTCTCTCTTATCGCAACGTCGTCACTAACTATCATGATCACCAACCACCCCACCACCATCGCCTCTCACCTCCTCTTGCCCTCATTTATCATCTCTCTTTTTCAATGGCTGTTCGTCCAGCCAAATGAAAATGGCTTTGTTCCCATTCTCTCTTTTCTCTTTGAAATCTAATTTTGAAATCTAATCTCTTTCCATGTACATCACCACATTTTATTAAACCTATCTTGTTTGCTCCCTATCTCATTTTCTCTCTCTCAAATTTTCATTCCCTCAAATCCATAATTTTTTTTTTAAATCACAACACATCCTTCACAATTGATTAATTAAACCATCATTCTTCTCAATTTTTTCTTTTTTTTAATCAAACTCATCTCATTCTCTCTCTTACGGATCCTTTGTTTTTTTCTATCCATCCAAGTTAAGACGCAAGCACCAAGAGATGCCTTACCACTTTCAAATCCACTACACTTTTTTAATATTTCAACCTTTTCCTTTTTCTTTTTCTTTTTTTCTTTCTTCAACCCATCTGGACATGTCTCACAGGTCATTATACCATCATTTTACCTTAGAGAAATTACATATATGGGACCCAATTACAAAGACTTCTAAGTTCAAAGTCTATATAGGATAAACAATATAGGTACTGATAATGCAATATGGCAATGGAGGATGGGTCGGACTGATCCATGTGTTCTACGGGTATGCTGGCCTTCATCTCCCTAGTGCGTGCCTGCAAAAAGTCCGGTAGGGAGGCACCATAACTGGAGTGATTTCTCCCCATAGACACTCTGATGATCAAGTTAGATTGGAAGTAGAGTGAGTGAGAGTGACAGAGAGAGAGAGACAGTATTAACAATGAACACCGTCATTTGAGTTTGATAACTCTGAGAGCATCCATGAGAAAAGCCTTTCTTGCCACCATTGACGGAACGGAGAGTGCAAGAGAGAGTAAGAGGGACAGAGAGAGAGAGAGAGACAGAAAGACAAATCAAATGAAAGAATAACTTACGCATCTTAGGCATTTCATCATCCATCTTCATCTGAGCCGTCTTCTCCTAGCAAAAACTCCCTGTTGGAAACAAAAATGTGACAAAAAAAATTAAAAAATATATATAAAATAACAAAGTCTATAAAAGAAATTATTAACAATGAACACCAACGTTTGAGTTTGATAACTCTGAAAGTAGCCATGAGAGAAGCCTTTCTTGCTGCCATTAACGAAACGGAGAGCGAGAGTGATAGTGATAGTGAGAGTGAGTGAGAGTGACAGAGAGAGAGAGAGAGAGAGAGAGAAAGAGACAGAAAGACAAATCAAAGGAGACGGTAACTTACGCGTCTTAGGGTTTTCATCGTTCATCCTCATCTGGGCCATCTTCACCGAGCAAGAGCTCCTTATACAAAACAAAAATGCGTAGAAAAAAAATGAGAATATATATATATATATATATATAAAATAACAAAGAAAGAAAGAAAAGCCTGGTTCGCCGATTCAACCGCCAGTTTTTCCGATTCTCTCTAAATAGGCTGGTTTTTAGTTTTGACCGGTTCAGAGGGTATATCCGGACCGAAATCCCGACTGGTCGACGGTTCAACCGGTCGAACCGGCCGGTCCGATTTTCAAAACCTTGGCTGGAAGCAAAGAGTTTAATGTACAAGACCCAATGAAAAATGTTTGGGACCCCTTTTTTTTGAGACTCCACAATTCCCTTTAGATCTCAATTATTGATGTATATGTGGGATCCACTCATGTATGTGTGGAGCTCACACCATCAATGATTCTCCAAAAAAATGGGGTCTCAATCATTGTTGCAAAACAGTAATGCACGCATGGCTTCGAGCAATGTGTGACGGCACGTGAGCTTGTCGAAACCCCCCAATGTTTTATTTTGTATTATTCAATTCACCAATCGGTACAATAAAATTTATAATATCTTAAAATTTTTGTAACATAAATCATAATTTTATCTCACCATAAATCATATGTTAAAAGATATTTGTGGCAAAAAAAAATTTTGATTGTCAAAGTTGAACTCAAAGTTTAAATAAATAAATAAATGAAAACAAAATGTTTTCATTTATTAAAAAAACGTAACATCATAGAAATGTTTGTGTTTATTAAAAAACATAACTATCATTTTCACAAAAAAAAAAAGAAGGTGATTTTTGTAGAAAATGTTGTTTTTTTGGGTTAGACAAATTTGAACTCAAAATTTAAATTGAGTTCAGTTAAAATGAAATCTTTCACAAGGCAAGTGGGAGAGAGGAGAGAAAATGAAGGTGACGTGATTTGTTTAAAGACTAAATAAAGAGGTTTTTTTTTTTAACAGAACTTTTTTATCCACCTCCGTGACAAAACCCACCAGATATATTCTTACAATAAATTATTTTTTTTTAGTTTTTACATTAATTTTATTGGGTGCATTTTTATCCAAGTAATTTTACAAAATTCATTTAAAAGTTGAAACTGGATCTATATTTATATTTTGATCTTAAATTTTTAAGAACGAATTTGATACATTACATTTTAATTTAATAATTTATTTTTAATTATATTTTAATCTCATCATTAATTGTATCGTGTACGAGCATACACTAGTACTTGTATATCTTAATATTTAAGTTTAAGGAGGTCCAGGACCACTAAAGCTACTGTCCAAAAAAATAATAAGAAATTTGTCCATATTTCAAACCTGTAATGGAGATTCAAGAGGTGTTTTTTAGGTCCATGCATAAAATAAATTTAAATAATGTTGAATAAAATTGAGATATTTATTTATAATTTTTTTTATCTACTTATATTTAGTTTAAATTATTTTTATTATTTTAATAAGTTGTATGAGTGACAAAATTATTAAAATATCCCTAATAATAATAGGGTAATACGCATTAAAGTTAACCATGTGAATGTACCGTAATGTGAATATTCACATAGTCATATATGAATGTTCACATCACTAAGTTATTAAGGATTTAAAAAATATTTGTAAGCGTACAATTGTTCAAAAAATATATTAAATATGAAAATTATGATTCGTGAATCAAATATCCAAATAATAAGACTTAGAATATAAAATTTCCTAATAAATTTCCCAATAAAATTTTGAGTATATATTAGTATTATTCAATCCAGAACACACAACTACACCCATATTCATACCGTCAATGTAAAACATACACTAACATAGCTTTCGTTGAATGAATGCAAATTTCAAACAAGAAATAACACTGTATTTGGATATAGATTTCAATAGAAATTTGAAAATAAAAGAGAAATGAAAAATAAATAAATAAATAAATAACTTATACTTTATTAACAATTGTCTCACCTTTTCCTTTTCTTTTTTTTTTCTTTCTTCTTTTTTCTTTTTTTAACTGCATACCTAAATCTATGATTCAAGGAGCTTGATTTGAAAAGGAAAAAAGTTCTTAGGTAGATTTTTACCTCTCAAACGATGTCAAGAATAACCCGATCTAGATATGAACGATAAAATTCCAACACCATCAATCTTACTCAATCTAGAGTCATGGTGAGATAGAGATATTCAACTTTGAATGAAGGGTGTACAGAAAAGAAAATTCTGCAGAAACACGAGAAAAAATATGAAGGAGGCAACACTTCGCTTCAATCCTGTATTGATGCTATGAAGATCTACGAAAATATTCACAGAAACTTAAAGAGCACATAATTTAAATAAATAAGTCCGCAAAATAAAAAGAGATACCTCTAAAATCCCAAGATTTTAGCACCATGCGAGATTTTAAATATCTTTCCTTGTCACCAACAAGATTCACAAGAATTTCCAAATCAATTTTCCTCAGCTTTGCATAGCTTAATGTCTTACCAAACCTTAACAACAAAAAAAATTGAAAGCTATTAGCTTTTGCAAAGTGTATTTATCAAATTGAAACAGAACATGATCAACCCATGAAGTAAGAGAAATGAAGCAATAACTATCAGTCAGTTTTGATGTGGAAGTTTATAGTGGTTTGTTTAAACGAAGGATGAGACAAAACAACAATAATTTAAGCAAAGAATAGCTCACCTTATCTTTTTGCTCACCTTATCTTTTTGCTCACCTATCTGCAGATCTTGCAAACTGTAAGTGAGAGGGAATAAAAATAACCACAAGAATTATGTGGGTCTAGGCATTGCCACGTAGCATGGTTAAGGATTATCACATGTACGACAGTTGTCGAATATTTTTCAAACACTGCATTAATGTTTTATGTTATGCAAAACTTATCAGGATATGAAATCTTATCGATATAGAATTCCTGAACAACCGGAGATTGTTTATGATAGAACTTCTGAAACATTCAAACTACTTTCTAAGTAAGTCATTGAATATTATAAATAGGCAACACTCTCATGGGTTGAGATATGCAATTTCTCTTTATGAATTAGTCCATTAAATATTTTGATAATATTAGAGGACTGACTTGGGCGTCGGAGGGAAAGATGTAAGCCTGTAGGGCATTTTATTCGATTATTTAGTAATACTCTGATGAATGAATTAATAAAATGTCTTCTTTAAATAATGCATGTCGATGATATATAATGGGTTAATTTTGAGGGCGTTACACCGTACAATTGGCACCGTCTGTGGGAAGCAATAGAATTCAACGAAAAAGATAAGCACATGTAGATAAGCTACTCTTAACGTGATATTTGACTATAATACTCCAACCAATAGCTTGATGACAAATTACTTCCACTCTTTTCTGTTTTGAAAGAATATTTTGTTTTATTAATGGTTTTGGCCTATTTTATAATCTGGGACCTCATAGGCAAAACAAGATTGATGATATTGTATGAGTACTGTATGTGTCAAGATTTCCACGAGAATGTAGTTTTGTGGTTAGAATTATCCCATGACAGTCATTGTGTGATATAGCCAAATTTGCATTTAGCTCGGTCCAACCAAGCAATTGGCAAATAAAGTTTGAATTAATATGCGCAAATTCCTTGTTAAATGGTCGATAAGCAAGAAAGAAATATCTTCTCAATAACTAGACCCAGCAACCTCAGCCTGGTTGGGCAATTGAGTCACCTGATTGCCCAAACAAACAGGGAAGAAATTACTTTATATACTTATAAGAAGACAAGCAACAACTGAGCTTTGGAAGTTAAATTGCTGAAGTCATGAAAACTTTTACCGTGATTACATCACACTAAAGTCAGGGGGCAGAAGAGTAGATGAATCGGAATATGGCTGAATAACGAACAAATCGAAGCATGGCTTATAAGTCCTTACAAAAAGGCAGTGGCTTCCTAGCCAAGATATTATATTGAATTTTTATTATTTGTGGAGTATGGATTTTATGCATTATTACTCTGCGGATGAAGATATTTTATTGTGCTGAATTTTGATTTATCTATGGAGCATGGAGTTTATACATTATTATTCCAACCACGAAAACATGGAAGATCAAATTATTATATCACATTTTTATTATCTGAAAAATATGAGTTTTTATATCAAACGTGGATAAAGACTATTATTTGGGTCAAATATCTTGAGATGGAGTTCGCGCTTTATGGATCATGGGGGCAATATGAATTATGCTACCCTTTGGTTACAAATTTTATTTCTTTGCCAAGCTGGTTTGGACAAGAGATAAGTTGGCAGATTTGACCAATTTGAAAAATCTTTATCGAGCGGGTTTTGCTTGGTGAAGTAGATTAGCAGGTTTGACCAATTTTGAAAATTTTTGTCGAACAAAGTAAGTTGGCAGGTTTGACTAACTTGAAAAATCTTTGCTGAGCAGGTTTTGCTTGATGAAGTAGATTGACAGGTTTGACTAATTTTGAAAATTTTTGTCGAGCAAAGTAGGTTGGTAGGTTTGACCAACTTGAAAAAAATTTATCGAGCGGATTTTGCTTGGTGAAGTAGATTGACAGGTTTGACCAACTTTGAAAATCTTTGTCGAGAAAAGTAGGTTGGCAGGTTTGACCAACTTAAAAAAATTTTGTCAAGCGGGTTTTGCTTAGCGAAGTAGGTTGGTAGGTTTGACCAACTTTGAAAATCTTTGTAGAGCGGGTGTTGCTCAACAAAGTAGGTTAGCAGGTTTGACCAACTTGAAAAATCTTTGTCGAGCGGGTTTTGCTTGGCAAAGTGGGTTGGCAGGTTTGACAAACTTTGAAAATTTTTGTAGAGTAAGTTGGTGGTTTGTCCAACAGTGGGATTCCTTACCGAGCGGGTTTTGCTTGCCAATAAGTCAATTGGTTGTTTTTTGTAGTTCCTAACAAGATTAGGCATTCTTGGTATAAGCCCTAATAAGATTAGGTATTTTCGGAAATAAATCCTAATATGGCATTTTTGGAATAAGTCCTAACGAGGTTAGACATTCTTAGAAGAAATCCCAGCAAGGTTAGGCATTTTCGGAATAAGTCCTAACAAGTTTAGGAAGTCTTTGAATAAGTCCTAACAAGGCATTTTCGGAATAAGTCCTAACGAAGTTAGGCATTGTTGGAATAAGTCATAACAAGGCATTTTCAGAATAAGTCCCAACAAGATTAGGCATTTTGACATAAGCCCTAGTACCCATGTATGGTTCTAGCTAGGCAATATAACACAACTATTTTTATCAGAACAACGGAAAGCTTCAACTCTTTCACTGGGTTCAAAGAGAATGAAAGCTTAGGGGGCAATTGAGAGGGAATAAAAATAACCATAAGAATTATGTGGGTCTAGGCATTGCCACATAGTATGGTTACGGATTATCACATGTATGACAGTTGTCGAATATTTATCAAACACTGCATTAGTGTTTTATGTTATACAAAGCTCATCGGGATATGAAATTTTATCGATATAGAAGTCTTGAACAGCCGGAGATTGTTTGGGATAGAACTTCTGAAACATTCAAACTACTTGCTAAGTAAGTCATTGAATATTATAAATAGGCAACACTCTCATGGATTGAGGTACGCAAATTAGTCCATTAAATATTTCGATAATATTGGAGGACTGACTTGGGCGTCGGAGGGCCTCCAACTACGGTTAGGGGTTTTTTTCTTGCAGATAACGATCGCATGGTGGTGCTGATCATCTTCTTCGTTGGATTTCTTTATCAACAAGTACGTGATTTTTCTTTACCCGTACAGTAAGTAATGAATAGAAGAAGAAATATATATATATATATATATATACGGCACGTTTGTTTTTAAAGGTTGGTTGACTGAGATTGTTAATGAGCGATTAAAAAAAATTGTGTTTATTTGATAAAAATTAGATCAATAATAGTTTCTGTTTGTCTTTTATAGATAGAAATAAGATTAATTATGTAAAATTTTATAAATAACCTTATCGCATTACTATCAAATTTGGATTTATACAACTAATAAATGCATTACATATTTTAATATTAAAACCTATATTTCATAAATATATTTTTTTGGGGTACTATTTTATTTTTTTAATATAATTTTTTTTGGTATAAATATTAGGGTAAACTACCAATTGGTCCTAATAGTTGGACTTAATTCCCATTAAGTCTTATAAAAAATAAATCTTGGTAAAATTGTTGCTAAAAATAATTTTTTTATATATGTCACTAAAAATTGACAATTAGTGACTCTTGTTGTCACGATTTTTATAAATTGTCGTTAAAACTTACAATTGGTGACCTTTTTTATGACGAATTTTTTCTATAGAACCTATTAGACAATAAGTCCACTTATTAGGACCTACACGTAAGTACTCATTGTTTTTCTACTATCGTCTCTTATGGAGAATTACTAATCCCATCCATGAAGCCCTATCATAATTCCAAAGTATTGTGAATCTCCTTTCCTATTTTGTAAACAAACACAATATTAGTGGACCCCACATCCATCTTAATCCAATCTCATTTCCTATAACCCCAAAAAAAGGGACCCACAATATATTCAACACTTATCTAGAGTCAAACACGCTCCCAAATTAAACTTCACTTAGGATATCTAAACCCAATTCCAAATTTGATTGTAGGTGTGACCAAACACCACCTTTCAAAACAAAAAAAAAAAATGCAAATTTTTATTTCATTTTGTCTTCATTCTTCTCTCTCTAACTTCTCTCTACCTTTCTCTTATTTTCCCTTACTTTCTTGTTGGTCAAACACCCCACCTTTGCTCCAACCTTATACCACCACCTCAACCCACCATCTCTACCACGACTTATTTTTCTTTACATATTTTTATAAAATGTTAAGAATTGGAATTTTTTTCTGCTTTTTTCTGGATTATATATATATATATATATATTTTCTTGAGAGATTAGAGGCTTTTTAGGGGCTATTTGGCATACACTATATAAGTGTACTTATTTAGATAACTACACTTATTGGGTCACATCACTTTTTTATTTTTCTTTACATATTTTTATAAAAAGTTAAAAAGTATACTTATTTAAATCATCTCAAATATCCCTTTAATTAGTAAGAATATCTCTCTAAAAGGTTTAATTTAATGTTTTACATTTTTAGAGTTTGAAATGGTGATTTCTAGATTTATGGTGATTTAGTTTTAGTTATTGAGTTTTATACTTGTATTTAGGCCTCATTTAAAATATGTTATTTTAATAATTTTTTGATTTTTAACTAAAATATGAAATAAAAAAACACTGACATGATTGAGAACAATTTTTTGACTTTTGTAAAAAAAAAAAGACGTCAAATAAAATATTTTATAAAATCAAAAAATAGGTAAATTGCCAAGGTAGACTGAAATGGGATGCATCAAGTGGGACTTCTGTTGTTGAGAAACCATAACACTACAGGAAATATATGATTTAACGGCGTTTTTTTAAACGCCACTATTTTTAATATTTAACGACGTTTTATAAACGTCACATTTTATTTTTATTAAAACGGTACCATTTAAGTAATGAAGTCGTTTGAAAAGCGCCTCCAAATGTGTTACAGTGTCTCTCTCTCTCTTCAAACCCTCAAATCTCTCACAACTTATTTGAATCTGAGAAACCCTAGAGCCTCAGAGAAATCGGTCCCTCAAATCTCTCACTCGCTCTC